AAAAGTTCACAGAACTTCCGGCAAGTTCACATAATGTCCGGCAAGTTCATAGATCTTCGTACAAGTTCATAAAACCTACGCCAAGTTCACTTATCTTCCTACAATTTCTCTGAACTTCCGACAAGTTCACATAACTAACTAAAAGTTTACAGAATTTCCTATAGGTTTCCTGAACTTCATACATATTCATAAAACTTCCGACAAGTTCACAGATTTCCAGCACTATTAAGAATCATTATTTTCTTTTCCGCTTTCTTTGTATTATTTCATTTCTGCATCCCCTTCACCAGTTCATACAACTTTCCTACAGTTCACAGGACTTTAGAATTTTCATAGAATTTTCTAGATCTTCATAGAACTCCCGAGATGTTCATAGATCTTCTGAGTAGTTCACTGAACTTTCGAAAAGTAATAGAACTTCCGAGATGTGCATGGAACTTCGCAGATGTTCATAGAACTTCCGAACAGTCCATAGATCTTCCAAGCAGTTCATAGGACTTTCAAGATGTTCATAGAACTTCCAAAACTCTCATACAATTTCCGAGATGTTCATAGAGCTTCCGAGCAGTTCATAGATCTTCCGATTGGTTAATAGAGCTTCCGAACAATTCGTAGAACTTCCAGGTGTTCATAGAACTTTGCGATGTTCATAGAACTTTCGAGATTTTCATAGAACTTCCGAAATATTCATGGAACTTTTGAGAGGTTCTAGAATTTTAGAGCAGTTCATAGAACTACCGAGAAGTACGTAAAACTTCCGAGTAGTTCATAGAACTTCCGTGTAGTTCATAGATCTTCCAAGCAGTTCTTAGGACTCTTGGGATGTTCATAGACTTCCAAAACTCTAATATTATTTCCGAGATGTTCATAGAACTTCCGTGCAGTTCATATTACTTCCGAGTAGTTCATTGAGCTTCTCAACAGTTCATAAAACTTCCAAGGTGCTCATAGAACTTCAAAGATGTATTATTATTATTGTCTTTATTAAAAACACATCTCTCATTAAAGTTCGGAGGGGTTCATACAACTTCCGAGCTGTTAATAGAACTTCCGAGATGTTCATAGAACTTCTGAAATGTCTCTAGAACTTTTTTCAGTCTCGACAAAATAAAAATCCTGTTATTTAATTTTGTACGACGTGTCTGTCGATTTGATTTGTAATTTTGAATAAATTTGATCTTTGATCACAATTATTCTTCAGTTTACCGAGGGGAACAAAAGTCCCACATTTATTAACATTTTATCCAAAAATACCTTTTTAGTTTAATGAGTTTATGTATATTCAAGCAAATTGATTTTATCCGATATAATCGCGTTTAATCTTAAAAATGATATATTTTTTATCGATCACATCTCTAACATATCGGGACCCATCTATATCTATCACATGACAGATTATCTACCATACATAACCACACTGAACTAAAACATCCGGAATACTTTGAATGATTGCATTGCTCGAGCCCTTTAACAATATGCGATCGAATTTCGGATGATTGCCTTTTGTTTGAATTCCTCATCAGCTGATGAGCATCCAAATGACTGTCATCCAAATAAAGGATGATATTTAGTTGACAATTTACTGTTAAACATACAGTGCTCAGAGTCAACAGTTTATGAATAGGATGACTTGCAAACGATTAAAACTACATTACACAATTACAATTACACAATTGTTTACATTTCTATATTGAATAGCCATGAACAGCCATTCCATCGTGGATACAAAAATCGTTTGTTGGTAAAGGAAACTTTCTCCATCACGAAATATACAATCTTCAGTTTCCACGCTTCACCAATGTTCATATCACCTATGATAGCGATGACATATGTTTCCACCTCGTTTGTCAGCTCAGACTAGCAAATGACGTTCGATGAAATTATTTACATCATCGTTTCGAATGATATATGCATTTCAATTTGGGATGACAATCATTCTACAGAAAGTATAAGGTATTTCAACTGAGGTATTGCACTTCTCGTATCAATGTTCATCCTGTATTCGAGAGGAGCATCATATGATTACACAGCAACCATCATCCGGTTGCAGCCATCATTCGATGAAGCGATTTCGATGTTTCGATTTTAATGGTCTGAGGTTTCATTTGCACAGAGGATGATGTTTTGGTACAGTATAACAACTCTCTTCTGTTTTTTTTTTTTTCGTTAGCACCAATGTCTCAAACGTAAACAATTATTTCTTCCGCGAATGCCGTGAAGATGAAATCTCGAAAAAAATGTTTACGTTTGTGACATTGGCCCTTATGAACGCTCAGGATTTCGTCAGAGATCGATGAGGAATGTGGGTGCTTCGAGATCACCAACCACAACCTGGGTAACGAGTTCTGTCCGAATAGATGCAACCGACGTCTGACCGAGCAGCAGTAGATTTGCGGTACTTGCTTGGATACTGAATCATAAAATTGAGCATCTTCCGGATGGGAGGCTGAGGCGACGTCTGGATCTTGCGAGGGAGGTTGTTGGTTGGGAGCGGGATTTGCGAGATTATATTAGATAAAATGGGACTGGGGTCATAGACCAGGGATAGAGGAGGAAGGGGACGGTTATTTAAGCCGGATTCCTTTTGGAGTACAAGAAGTTCGGATTGGCTGAGGAGTTCTTCCAGACCATATACTGAATCCTTTGCCAGTATCCGGTTAAACTGTCACTGCTTAGGGTCCAAGACTGCATCAACTGATGATTGCTTGGCTGAAAAAATGATTGCTGAAGGCGGTTGTTGTTGTTGCACCGGGGAAGAGTATAGTGGTCTAAAATAATTTTCAGTTCGATTTGCGATTTTCTTCTTCAATGACATTGACCGAGTGCTAAAACCGCACGATCAAGAAAGTGACAGTAAATATAAGCACACTAAAACTTATTAGAGTAAACAGATAGATAATTCTGACTCATCCAAGATTAGCACTATAGATAGTGGCATTCGTGTGTTATTATTCATTATGAATCGAATTTATCCCAAAAATTTGAATTATTAAACAAATTTTATTTAAATCTGTTAAAAGCAATGTAGAATGGATTACTTTCGTCCCACTTGCATTTTTCTAATAGCAACAGTTGGACGACAACCAGTGTAGTTTTGTAGAACGTGTAACTGTCGTGAGGTCTGAGTTTCAGTATTATTGATATTTGGAATAATATTTTAAATTCCTCCCACACTGCATGTTTTCGTTACTTACTCCCGCATAAACGTTAATGGTTCGGATAGTTTTATACTTTAGTTTATATTATAGAAAACCCTCTCAAAGATTCACACTCTGCAATTTTGTACCCGGTGGTACCGGTACGATCATCATTGCTTTTCTCCCTCGTTTGTGGTGTTTGTGTGATCATTTTTGTCTATTCATATGTGTGAGTTTATTTTGAAACCTGCTTATAGTGTATGTGTACGTGTGTTTTATAATTTCTTGTTTATTTGAATCATCTGTTTTGCTTCTCTTGATTTTCAGCCCATGCAAGATGGCGTGGAGGTCGGTGGGATTTTTCTGAGGCATAAAAATCTCTGGTCACGTCTTCCTTCGGAAGGGAAGTAAAGTCTTTGGTCCCGGCCCATGTGTGTTGAATGGGTGCGATATCCTACGCAGGTGTGGAAGCTGCCTTCCTGCACATTCGATTGCCGTCAATGGATGGCAATCGATGTCCGTCGGTGATTGGCACTAGATTGCGGAACAGAGTCCGACGTTAAATAAAGGAAAGAATAAGAAGAAGAAGAAGAAGAAGAAGAAGAAGAAGAAGAAGAAGAAGAAGAAGAAGATGGCGTGGCGTGTAGATTATCCGTAGCTGTTCGTTTATTTAATGTGTTTTGTGTATAATGGGAAGATTTCTGGTCTAGTATGTAGTGTACACCATTTTGGTTTCCTCCAGCTTGAAACTGTGCTCCGGTCTTGCTGCGTGGTTTACCAAAGCTGTCGTGTCCCATACCCTAAACATATGTCGTTTCCCAGTCCACCTATAACTTCCGAACAGTTCGCAAAACTTCCGTGCTGTTGACAGGAATTTCGAGACATTCATAGAATATTCGCGATGTTTGAAGAACTCCCGAAATGTTCACAGAAGTTGCGAAATGTTCACAGAACCTCCGAGATGATCATAGAACTATCGAGTAGTTCATATAACTTCAGAGATTCTAATAGAACTTCCGAGATGTTCATAGGACATCCGAGATGATCATAGAATTTCCGAGAAGTTTATTGTATAACTTCCAAAACTTTCTCTTTCTCATAGAACTTCCGAGATGTTCATGGAACTTCAAAGATGAGCATGGAACTTTTGAGATAATCATAGAATTTCCGTGCAGTTAACATGACTTTCAAGAAATTCATTGCATTTTCTAGATGTTTTTAGAACTTTCGAGATATCCACAGAACTTGCGAGCAGTTTACAAAACTTCCTAGATGATCATAGAACTTTCGAGTATTTCAAAGAACTTGCGAGTAGTTCAAAGAACTTCCGAGTCGTTCAAAGAACTTCCGAGTCGTTCAAAGATCTTCAGCGATTCTTATAGAACTGTTCATAGGACTTCCGAGATGATCATAGAATTTCCAAGAAGTTTATTCTATAACCTCTTGAAAACTCTCTCTCATAGAACTTCCGAGATGTTCATGGAACTTCCAAGATGAGTATGTAACTTCTGAGATGATCATAGAACTTCCGAGCAGTTCATCGAACTGCCGAAAGTTTAATATAACTTCCGAGCAGTGCTAAGAGCTTCTGAACAGTTCATAAAACGTCCGAGGTGTTAATAGAACTTTCGAGGTGTTCATAGAACTTCCGTCAAGTTCACCATTCAAAATGTCACCTTTTAATCCGTTTCCGTTTTATTTGTTTCCCCAAGATTTCCTCTTTATCATAGACTCAAACCAATGTTGTGTCGTTATAAAATCGAACACTACGGACACGCACCAGTCACCTATAAACCTATTCCAACCTATTTTGGACTATCATCTCAGCTCGTGGACATTTCTTGGTGTTGCCTATGTGTCTCGATGACTTTGTCGTTGGGAATGGCACCGGAGAAGATACGTGGTGTGCTGCAACTGGAAGGAAGATCAGTACTTGAACCTCTAGTCAGGACGTCTCAGTAGTCGCTTCTAAAGACGAACTGGTTCCCTACATTCACCCTGTTCGGTTCAGTTCGATCACTGGTCTGTGAGGTCCTCCACTTCCCACAACATAAATCTTGACAGTGCAGTCAGTATGCCTCAACTCGAACACTACCATCAACTTCCCTTCGGGTGTATGCCTTGGATCCTTCAATGTCAATAATGGACACATCACTGCGCGAATAACAATTTGGCTTTATGAGAGTTCTGAAGATCATGATTTAGACTCTTATAATGCTCTAAAACCTTGATAAAACTTGCAATTTTTCTTGGATCCTTCAATGTCAATAATGGACACATCACCGCGCGAATAACAATTTGGCTTTATGAGAGTTCTGTAGATCATGATTTAGACCCTTATAATGCTCTAAAACCTTGATAAAACTTGCAATTTTTCTTGGGCAGAGCTTTTTTTGATGGGAAAGCGATTGGCAGTGGCTTTCATCAGTAAGTTGATTTGCGGTCTAATGGTTGTTGTTAGCACCATGGTCTTCGTTGGTTGCAGATTAATTTGGAAACTGCTATGCTAGTGACTGGCTGTGGACGTGGTTCTGGTAACACCTGAGGAGGGCCGGTTGATGATGCTTCATTGGTCGTTCTGGTTTGAAATCTTCAGTCCAAATTAAAAGCAAACTTTAATAATCAGTCGAGTATTAATACAAGACACTGAAGAAGTCTGCACATTGTAGACGAAATACGCGTATTTGTCAAGGATAAGCAAATAAAGTAGTGGAATTAAATGGAAAATACTAATCCTTCTCTCTCTCATTATTTAATATGCTTTTAAAATTCCATTTAAGCAAATAATCGATAAGTAGACCGGTACCGGTGTCAACCCTGCGAATCCATAATGTTTCTCTGAGGACAAAAAAAACTACTTCAGTTCCAGTTCTACGTTATAACGAACTGCTCTGTGACGCCGTAGTGAAAGTTCTGGTTGGTCGGTTATTGTACACAGATGATACTGTACCATCGTTAGTTGGTCGTCGCTCGTCATCGTCACCACCGGAAAGTAGCTCAAGCGTGATTCTCCGTGGAACGTGATAGCGAAAATTAAAAGCCACCGGTAAAGTCGTCGACGGCGACAACAACAGCGAATGCGTGATGTTTTGCAAGCTCTAGATTGAAGTTCTGCATGAGCTGGTTTGATTGGATGATTCCAGCGTTGATTTGCACAATTCTTGGAGTAAGAGTCAGCTTTCATCAGGATCCGATTCATCTCAAAAGATGCACTTGATTGGTAGCAAATTTCGTGGGAAACCACAGCTCTCTTTCATGGTAGCACATAAACTAGGTTCCCATCAGCAAGGTTCGAAAATATATGCTGGGCCACAAGTGCATTGATGACCATCCATTTGCGCTCATTGTCGTAATTGAACTTGTTTCCTGACCGTTACCTCAACCTATAGATTTCCTTTGACATGCATCCTGCCGAAATCCATCCGTTCCGGTGTGCAGTTGCACATCGGGCTTCGTTCGATAGCTTGCGTTCACCGCGAGTGTAATATCAAAACCACCGAGTGATGGTACATATAGAAGTATGTACCTGGCTATCGGGAAGCCAGTATTGCATGGCTCGCCATCGCCGATCCGGTGTAACAATACAACCCCCGGTCCGATAACGCAAAATTTCCCATATAAATTTTCAATCAATTTCCTATAATGGCCATCGCACAAAGCTTGGCTCTTTTCATAGGACGACGACGAAGCCGCCGGCAGCGCTGCACCGATATTACACGCCGTTTCGCCTAGTAACAACAGCGCCTAGTCGGACGTCCCGATAGGTAAAACTGAAACTCACAAAAACACCAGCCTGATTGAGTTACTCCAGCGCATTTCTGCCTTCCAACTCCGCTTCATCAGCATCCGCGTTTCGCGTTTGTTGCAAGCCGATAAATTCCAGCCCAGTGGTTGGTCTTCAATCGAAATTTATTGAACATGTTACTGGTTTCATCCATCTCTACGACGACAAGAGTATGGTGATCCTAATAGGCACAAAAAACAAACCCAGACAGGACGCAAAAAAGGATTGTTCGCGTAAAACATGCACTTTCGGATCCATCAAGCTGAACATGCAGATTATTGGCACCGGGTTCGATCGAGCCTGAAGCAGCTGTCAATTTCGCCACGGTTCAGGCGGGCATCGACCGTTCGACGATGGATGTAATTATCGGTGTAAGCACTTTGTCCTATCGTTTGACGGTTGTACGGGTTGGAAATCGGGCTGTGAATTGAAACCAGTGTCTCACCGTTTTCAGCAGAATTCGCCGATATTCCGGTGGGTACGATTAATGTTCATAAAATTATGAAATGCCGGTGTCTTTTGTTGTAACCAGAGCTTGGCCGCCCCACTCGGAGCCATCAGAATACAAATCACAATTGTTAATACAAATCTGAAGGGTTTCCGGAACATGTTCTGGGAACATTGGGTGGCCGTTGTCAATCTAGTCAGTCAGCATTGGCGCTTAGAAAATCCTAAAAATTTGAATGCGCTTTACGACTTCTTTCTGCTGAAACCAGACACTGAGTCCTGCTGGTCACTTTTTTCCGAGTCTTCGGAACGTATGCTTAAGCTATCGACCATCGTCATTGTTCATACAATTATGAACATGTTGAAATTCCGCTAATTTGTTCTGTTGTTGCAATCCAAGATTGGTCTCTCCACCCATGGGTATCGGCTGGACATTATCACTGTTGTCATTTTCATGGTCTCTAATGAATTATCTGTGTTATTCAGAGAACATTGATCTCCCGCACGACTAATTTATTTAAGCGGAAGTTCGTCTCTTCCTCCGGGGATTAACCTACACTTCTAAAAATATCTCTATTCGAATATGAAAATATCTAAACTTTTCTGCAGTCTGCTGCAAATAACACGAAGACTTCTTCCTTTAGCGGAAATGCCTGTGTCATCAGCGAACAAAGATTTGTGGCAACCCTGAAGCAAATCAGGGAGGTCCGAAGTGAAAATGTTATACAATATAGGCCCAAGAATGCTACCCTGAGGAACTCCTGCTCTAACAGGTAGTCGATTAGATTTGGAATTTTGATAATTTACCTGCAGAGTTCTGTCAGTTAAATAATTTTGAACTAATTTTATACTATAAAGTGGAAAATTAAACTTTTTCAATTTAGCAATCAAACCTTCATGCCAAATACTGTCAAATGCTTTTTCTATGTCTAGAAGAGTAACTCCAGTTGAGTGACCTTCAGATTTGTTTGAACGAATTAAATTGGTAACTCTTAAGAGTTGATGAGTAGTTGAATGCCCATGGCGAAATCCAAACTGCTCATCTGCAAAAATTGAGTTCGTATTGATGTGAAGCATCATTCTATTTAAAATTATCTTTTCAAAAAGTTTACTTATTGAAGAAAGCAAACTTATTGGGCGGTAGCTAGAAGCTTCAGCTGGATTTTTATCCGGCTTCAAAATTGGAACAACTTTTGCATTTTTCCATTTATCAGGAAAGTATGCCAAATGGAAACATCTGTTAAATAATTTTACCAAGAAAGCCAAGGTACTCTCTGGGAGTTTTTTGATGAGGATATAGAAAATTCCATCATCACCTGGAGCTTTCATATTTTGAAACTTTTTAGTTATAGACCTTACTTCGTCCAAATCAGTCCCCCAGGAATCATCAAAAATATTTCCCCGAGAGAAAATATTCAGAAAATCCCGAGCAACCTGATTCTCAATAGGACTAGTAAGACCCAAACTGAAATTATGGGAACTCTCGAATTGCTTAGCAAGTATCTGAGCTTTTCTCAGAATTTGTGATCAAAATTTTACCACCTTCTTTAAGGTTATTTCAAAATTTTTGTGAGTTTCTAAAAGGGTTTGGAACTCGGGTCTAATTGAGAAATATTATTTTCAAAAGTTTTGTTCCTCAGGGCAGAGAATCGCTTTTTAATTTGTTTTTGCAAATCCCACCAGATAACCTTCATGGCAGGATCGCGTGTTCTTTGATATTGTCTCCTACGGACATTTTTAAGACGGATCAAGAGCTGAAGATCGTCGTCTGTTATAATTGAATCGAATTTAACCTCGCATTTTGGTACTGAGGCAGCTCTTGCTGCAACTATAGAAGTAGTCAGAGATTCAAGAGCATAATTCATTTCATCTTTGGTTTGCAAAGGAATGTTTGGATCGAAGTTATATTCCATAAATGTTCGATACTGCTCCCAATCAGCTCTATGGTAATTGAAAGTAGAGCTGTTGGGATTACAAATTATTTCTTGGGATATTTCAAAAGTTACTGGAAGGTGATCAGAACCGAAGTCAGCATGGGTAACCAATTGGTTACAAAGTTGACATGCATCAGTTAAGACCAAATCAATAGTGAAGGGATTTCTTGCAGAAGAAAAGCATGTTGGGCTGTTTGGATATTGAAAACGTGGAGCGTTTCCTACCTGTCGGTTAGAACGAGATTGTAGGATCGCTTTGCGAGTCTTACATTCCCAAAAATTGGATTTGCGATTTTCACCACAATTTGAACATTTGAATTTCTTAGGATCTTCCTTCACAGGACAGTCGTACGTGAGAGGAATCATCATAATTTATGCATTTAGTTGGCATGTAGTAATTTTTAGTTCCGTGACCCCATCCCTGGCACTTACGGCACTGAGTGAGGTTTTGTAAATTTCCTCCAGTCTTCCTGAAGTGTTCCCACTTCACTCGGACATGGAACATAAGGCTAGCTTTTTCTAAGGCCTTAATGTTGTTTAGTTCACTAGACTTGAAGTGAACTAAATAAAAATCAATAGAAATCCCGTTGCGCGAATCGCCAGGACGGGATTTCATTTTCATTTTGATTACTTGGAGTGGCACAACTCCAAGTAACTTTGCCAGTTTATCTTTGATCTGATGCAGAGATACACAACTGGGCAGTCCTTTCATGACAACCTTGAACACACGTTCAGTTTGGTGTCGTAAGTAAAAAATTTGTGAT